CATAGCTATCTAAAGATCTTGTAGCTATTTAAAGTTGCTATAGCTATCTAATGATTTACATAGCTATTTAATCATTCATTTGGCTATTTAATCCTATCATAGCTTTCTAAAGATTTTGTAGCTATTTAATGATTTGTATAGCAATTTAATTATTCATTTGCCTATTTTATCTTATCATTGCTATCTAAATATCTTGCAACTATTTAAAGTTGCGATAGAAAAGAAAAAAAACCTAAATCATAGTCTGAGATTTCTAACAATAAAAAATACTGACAATTATATGTTTATTCTTATAAGCATCAAAAAGAATACTACGTTATCATCACTAGTAGATATTTTGCTCAAATATTCATCTTACCTTGCTGATTCTTCAGAACAGGGTTTGTTTGGTTGATATGAGGATGAATTCGTTTTTTCCTTATTTCATCTTTTTATCATATAATATCTTTTACTTTAATAAAAAAAAGCAAAATAAACCATGAGTAGAGATTTGTTTGGTTGAGTGAGAATGAATTCGTTTTTTTATGTAATCTTTCTATCATTTAACATCTTTTACTTTGAAAAAAAAAACTACGATCAGGGGTTTGCGTTTGGTTGATATCAGGATGGATTGTTTTTTTTTATTTCATCTTTTTATCATCTGATATCTTTTACTTCAAAAAAAAAAAATAAAATAAATCACGAGCAGAGGATTGTTTGGTTGATGTGAAGATGAATTCGTTTTTTTTATTTTATCTTTTTATCATCTAATATCTTTTATTTCGAAAAAAACAAAATAAACCACGAGCAGGGAGGTTGCTTGGTTGATGTGAGGATGAATTCAAAAAAACCAGAACGCAAAACAATGAGCCACGCAGCTATTTAAATAATTCAGTGTCACTGCTATTTTGTTTAAATTGCTAGCTAACTATGAGAAACACAGTATCAAAGCTTTTAAATAGCCAAAGTTTCCTTTAAATAGCAACATTTCATTAAAAAGTATCACAAAACCGACCTCAATAACTTGCTTCGTTTAGTAGCTATAAGCATTTTCTTGAGACCCCCGAAATAGGCCAGGTGACGCGGAATCACCCTTAAAAGCATTATGTGATTGGTAATCAACCACGCTGAATTCAATGATGATGTTTGTTTTTTATTTCAAAGTAATCTGAAATCACTGTATCGAGATTTTCAATATACATGTTCTTTAAGCCAAATAGCAGCAAAAACTAGATTTACGAAAACTTTTTTATAATGATCTCAGGTTACCTTTGAAATAAAAAAACAAACATCACCAATGAATTCAGCATGGTCGATCACCTATAATGTAATGCTCTTAAGGGTGATTCCACGTCACCTGACCGATTTTGAGGGTCTCAGGAAAATGCTTATAGCTACCGAATGAAGCAAGGTATCGAGGTCGGTCTTGTGTAGATCAAAAGAGAACAATTTTTTCTATCTAATGGTTTAATTGAAGTTCAAAATCCAACGAAATAAGCATTACAAAAGC